GCGATTAAGCAAGTCTATGAAAATATATGTGCTGTCAAGACACCACAGGGCTGTGGATCTCTTGATGCGCTGAGGCTTTCCGACTTGATGAATGCAGACATATGATCGAACACATGTCTCCTTTGTTGTTGCCTTCCTTGTTGAGGCTCGCAAGGGTATTATTTGTATGTACTGTTATGCCGTGGAGGTGGTTCGGACCCTTTGGTTGTGTAGTAGTGTCGTTTTGAGGCAAGTGATAGAAGCCTAATTGGAAACAGGATCTTGAAGTTGTGATGAGGTGTCTGCAACAAAGTTGTTGAGATCTACAATTTTGGATGTGTTAATCGTAAAATGTTAATTGATTATAGTTTAAATTTTTTTATTTTTATCTAATGGAGAAAATATTATCGATTAATTAACATTTTGGTTGTCGACAACTAAGATTTGTCCTCTTGGTTGTCGACAATTAAAATTTAGTTTAACATCTTGGTTGTCGACAACTAAGATGGCATAGGGGAGACAAGGCTTGTCCTCTTGTTTTGCTCATATGGATATAAGTCTAAAATAGATGATTACAAACTGTCTTTTCATTTTTGTTGTTAACATGTACAAGAGTCTAAATGGGACTGTTAGAAGTTGTTATAGACAGTCTCCTCAAGGAATATTTTTTAGAATATTTTATTCTTTTTTGTTCGATATAAAGGCCTATTTCTGACAAAAGAACTAACGTCAATCAATTTTTCACAACTTTCACCTCACATTGAGATTAACTTGGGCATCAGAATGATTAGGTTAAGAAACCTACTCTCAATTTCGATTTTTGTCTAAGCTATCAACAGAGCATATAAGCGTACCCACATCGACTTCCATAAGATCTCCAACGTTTGTCTCCACAGCATCTCATCGTTCTTGCACATGTATAGTCGAATCATATTAGACTGATCTCAACGTCTATGATATTTTCTCCTAAAACTATCCAACATAATATATATCGATGTTTTGATTTTCTCTTATGTTTTTGACATCAAAGCTAGCCAATCAATGTAGGTGTATCAGATGGCTTATGTGAAGTCGTCACCGAACAAACACTTCAGTGACGCTTTGTTTTTGTTTGCCGTAGAACTTTTCTTTGACGAGGGTGGACGAGAAATGCAATATATGGCCCAACTTAAATCGTATACCATCGGTCCGACTCCGAGAAGATGATAAAGACATGCTTACACTGTCATATGGCAAGGCAATATGGACCCATTGAAATCTTGGCTCGTCCTTTCAATCTCATTCATATTTTGGCAGGGTTGACTTGACTTGATTTGAGGTATACAAATTAGGTGGGCTTTTAATCTCCGAAAGAAAGAGACGTTTTTGTACTTGATTTGTTGAGTTATTAGTTTTTCCTTTCTTTGGAAAAACAAGAAAAAAAACTGACGAGCAACCAAAGAACATAATTCAACATACAAGTTGTTCTCTCCCATGATTTATCAACTTAATTGCTGATCCGGCAAAATACACCACCACCAAAAGTTCCTGTGTAAAATATCTCTCTCCGTCCTTTATATATCCACTTGACTGACGAAGCCACTCTGAGGAGAATTACTGTGGAGCACGTCAAACACGACAAAGGGATCCACCAAACATTGATCTCCTCCACACCAGCATCTTTCTACTTTGGTACGATACCATGCAACGTGCATGACACGGAGCATTCAACACATCATCTTTTTGTGGAAACAAAATTTTCATAGTGATCTTTGTAAGTTTTTAATCTCTCCTCGAAAGGAAAACATTTGTAATCGATTTATTGAGTTATTAGTTTTTTTTATAGAAAAAGAGGGGAAAATTGACGATGAAAGGGGAAGCATATAATTCAACATTGATGTCGTCCTCTCTAATTGCTGATATAACACAATACAAAACCATCAAATTCCTGTCTAAAATATCTTGCTTCATCTCTTACATATTCTATTGATTGCTAATATAGCAACGTTTTGTAATTTACACAATGAAAAAAAATTACTCTAAAAAGAAGTAAAGTGGCACGTCTAACACGACCAGAGATCCACCGCACATTGATCTTCTCTCCATCTGTAGTTTTCTATTTTAGTGGACAGTACAATACCATGCATTACACGGCCACGGCATAGTAGTCACCACATCATCTCGTCTCGGAGACCTCTCCGGAGACTTATGACATCGCTGTATAATTTGTTTAATAAGAGTACTGAAAAAGTAATTTGCATGCCAAAGTGAAAAAATGGTAGCAGAAATAATGTCTAAGCCGCATGGATGTCATGATCATCAAAATGGAATTTTGAATCATAGTTGTGGAATTCTGGTGACCGAAGCATGCAGTGAGAGACTTTGGCCAATAATATTGAGATGCACTCGTTAATGTGTACCCCCTAGTAGATACCTCATCTCTTTGTTCAACACTCATTAATGTGTATCCCCTAATAGATACCTTATCTCTTTGCCCAACACTCATTAATGTGTATCCCCTAATAGATACCTCATCTCTTTGCTCAAGAACCATGTAACAGAAAAACACATATTCCCCTAAATTATATTCTTCATAATATATGAGATCAATTGTAAGACTCGCTTAAGTATAACTTCCCTTGCATACTCTCTTATATAAACTTGAAGAAATTTTCTCTCAACGTACAACTCTGCCAAAAATGTTGGATTACATTTTACTTTTATTCATGTACAACTTATTTATTTGACTAGGGTGGACGAGATTTGTAATGTATGGTGTAACTTAAATCGTATTCCGTGGGTCCGATTGAAATCTTAATTTATTCTTATAATCTTATTCATTCTGACAGGACTGATATAATCCAAAAATAATATATCTCTATTATAATTTGGATATTATGTATGAATCCTTATCTCCTTCTCAAACAACGAATATTTAACAAACTTTTAGAAAAATTCATCAAGTTGGTATGGTTGAGTTACTTTGACCCGAGAGGTATAAGCATGTGAGATATATATATATATTTATTTATTTATATGGTGGTATATCTTTTTGTGGAAACAAAATTTTCATAATGATCTTTACAAGTTTTTAATCTCCAACAAAAGGAAACATTTGTACTCGATTTGTTCAGTTACTAGCTATCATTCCGTCGTCTTCTTTTTATTTCTCTTGCTTATATTCATCGGAGCTGCCTTGCGATTCCAGAAGAGAGAAGCAGACAGTACCTGCTGATAATAATATCTTTTTATTTCTCTATGTTGAATTTTGATGCAAGAGACATATAAAAGGGGCATCATCGAAGCCACCGAAGATTTCGTTGCCAAATTCTATATCGGAAGCGGTGCATATTGGCAGAGTCTAGAGAGCAGAGTTTAATAAAAGCATATTGGTTTCATTCTGCAGCGTGTTTAATAAAAGCATCGGTTGGTAATCTTTGCCTTGTTATGCAAATCTTGGACGCTTGAAAAGTTTGATTTGCTTGTACTATATGCTTTACACTTTCTTGAGAATTTGTGAAGGTAATTAAATGAAGGCCGAGGGATGATTGGATTCTGATTTGTGCCTGCCCACCATGACGGCTCTGCTACGGAGGCATGACAGAGAGCCGACCGATGAGTAGGAATTCATTCGCAGCAACCAGCAGATTTGTATGTGTTGTGTGCTTTAGTGATTTCGTTACGTAATCAATAGCTCAAAATGAAATCTCCCACACCATTTCCACGAATCAGAGCAATGAGCTTCCTATTCTCACGGCTTAGCATATGGGATTGCTATGCTGCTTAGAGTAATATTTAACGCAATAGAAGGGAAGAATAGCGTTCGTATGATGCAATGCAATGCAATGCGATGGTTGTCTGATTCAGTGGCTCGAGACTACGCTGCTATTGGAAACTACCAACTCCCTGTTTACTACAATTATAAAATGATCATGTCGTCAAAGAGAAAAGGATAAGGGAAAAGAATATGCATTATTAGCTCGTTTCATCGTTCCAAATTAGAGATGAAGAGGCGAGTGACAGAATTAGCGTCTCGAGCAATGGAATCTTTCTTCTCCCAGAAATCTCTCCCCGGCCTTCTTCTTCTCTTGCTTGTCTTCTCAGTGTATCCGAAGCCGGCATCGACTTCGCTTGCATCGCAAGGTCGAGTGCTCCTCCAATGGAAAGCCAGCCTCCGAAGCCAACAATCACTTCGATCTTGGAACCTCAGCACCAGCCCATGCATCTGTAGAGGCATAACCTGCAGCCTCCGGCGTCACAGTGTGATCACCGAGGTTAATCTGCCGAGCATGGTTTTGGATGGGCCACTCCACACTCTCAACTTCTCCGCCTTGCATCTCACGTTCAACAGGCTCAGCGGGCAGATCCCTCCCACCTTCTTCACTCTCTCTGAGCTCATCTCTTTTGATGTCCAAGGAAACGACATCAAAAGATAAAAGCAATAAAAACAGAATCCTTTTGGGGACGATCCTGTGGCAATTAAAAATAATCATTTCGATCAAAAAAATGATAAAAATAGAATACTATGATACAATTAAAAAGAATCATTTCGATCAAGAAAACTAATGTAGTATTTAAACAAAAGAATTGACATAAAATACTTACAAGATATTTCCAAGTATATACTCATTCTATCTTGCTTCATAAACTATGATCATATTTATAGGATCTAGTAGTAACTACATCACTTCATCATGTCACCGATTGAGTTAGATGTAGAAACTACCCTATAACCTCTAGATCATAAGTCACTTTTTGAAACATGTCTAAAACTACCTAGAACATGGTAACTACCCAGATAACTACTATGTATCAATTCTCAACACTTTCCTTTGATTCATAGTTACATACACCGATTTACGACATGAAATAAATATGCTTTGGAATTGGAATTGACTTGGTGAGGATATTCGTAAGTTGTTCATCTATTCCGTAATACTTTATTATTATAGCTCCACTTGCTACAAGATCTCGGATGAAATGATAGCATATCTCTATATGCTTCGTTCTTCTTTCAAATGTCAGATTCTTTATCATTATAATTATGACTTTGTTGTTCTTGTATGACTTATTGTTATAACAACTTTGTTGTTATTGTATGACTTATTGTTATAACAACATACGACCAAAGCAAGCGCCACAAAATTGTTATAATAGTAGCAATCATTGCTCCTATGGTCTTCTTCCTTCTCTTGTTTATATTCATTGGAGCTGCTTTACGATTCCACAAGACAAAGAAGCCGCCAGTACCTGTTGATAATAATCACATCAAAGAAGGTGCATTCTGTATATTGAATTTTGTTGGAAGAGACGTATGCAAGGACATCATTGTATCATAGCTTAGATAACTAATATATATCAATGTTTAATCTCTGTCCAGATCATAGTCAAACACCTAAAAGTGTCTTGTCTCTATATCTCTCGTTTATCATAACCCTGAAACTCAATGTGTATTTATATAAATAAATTTTAATTCACAAAGATTTTTAATTTAATTAGAACTCCTCAAATTAATTTAAATATAATTATAATTTTCTAAAATACTTATCAATCCTAATAAATCAGAAATTGTAATATTTGAAGTTGTGATGAGACTTTATAGTAAAGTTCTTGAGATCCAGAATTTTAGATGTCTTGATCATAAAAAAAAATCCTTAAAACATCATTTGTACTGATGCTTTATTTTTAACTTAGGCTTCTCAAATCAAAGCTAGCTAGCTTAATTGTGACAAATCAATGTGGGTGTATCAGATGGCTCATGCAAAGTCACCGAACAAAAGTTAGGTGACATTTGTTTTTGTTTTCCTACAACTTGCTTATTTGACTAGGGTGGACGAGATTCGCAATGTATGCTCCAACGTCATGGTTCTGATTCCGACAAGATAATATCGATATATCTACAATATTATCTAATAATTTGACCATAAAACAAATATAGGTTCGATTGAAATCATAGCTCGTCTTGACAATCTCATTCGTTACTACTCATATTTGGACAAAATTAATATAATCTAAAAATAATATATCTTTATTATAATTTGGACATTGCTTATGAATCTTTATCTTCTTCTCACAATTCACTGAGCAACCTTCTTAAAAAATTCATCCAAGTTGATATGGTTGAGTTGACTTAACCTGGGAGGTATAATCATGTGATATATATATATATATATATATATATATATTGGTCTCACAATATCTTTTTTGGAAATATTTGTACTCGATTTGTTAAATTATTAATTTTTTTCTTTAGAAAAAGAAAGAAAATTTGGTGATCAAAGGGGACGCATATAATTAACATAGATGTCGTCCTCATATGGCTTATCAACTTAATTGCTGATATAGTAAAATACAAAACTATCAAAATTCTTATCTAAAATATATTTTTTCCTCTCTTACATATCCTCTTGATTGCTAATATAGCAACGTTTTATGTTTTACACAATGAAAAAAAAGCTACTCTAAAGAGAATTAATGTGGAAAGAGTGGCACGTCTAACACGACTTGAGATCCATCACTCGATTGATCTCTCCATCTATATTTTTCTATTTTAGTAGACAGTACGATACCATGCATTACACGACATAGTAATCACCACATCATCTCTTGTCTCGTAGACTTTTCGGTAAACTAATGACATTGCTGTAAGATTAGTTTAATAAGAGTACAAATAAAAAAGTAATTTGCATGCCAAAGACAAAAAATGGTAGCAGAGAAAAAGTCTTAAGCGGCATGCATAGCACTAGATGTCATGACCAATGGAATTTTGAGTCATAGTTGTGGAATTCTGGTGACCGACGCATGCATGCAGTGAGAGAATTGGTCAATAATATTGAGATGCACTCATTGATGTGTATCCTCTAATAAATACCTTATCTCTTTGCTCAAGGACCATGCAACAGAAAAACTAATATTTGCCTTCTTGTCTTGCTGTATGGCATCTCAGCTTCACAAAACTTTGCTTTGTGCCACTTCGCTGCTACTACTGCTCTTGCTTCCCCGTGCTCTTCTTGTCAAAGCTTCACTCGGATCCCAAGGGAGGGCGTTGCTCCACTGGAAAGCCACTCTTAGGAGTCCTCAATCCTTGAGATCTTGGAATCTCAATTCTAGTCCGTGCAATTGGACCGGAGTTACATGCAATTACCCCGTCGCAGGTAGAGGGCGTTCGGTGGTCACCGAGATATCCCTGCCGAGAATGGGCTTGGCAGGGCCACTTGATGCTCTTGATTTCTCGGCATTGGGATCGCTCCTCCGTCTCAATCTCTCTTACAACCAGCTTGGTGGGGCAATTCCTCCGACCATCTCGGCTCTCTCCAGGCTCGTATCTCTTGATTTCACTAGCAATCAGTTCAGAAGCAAAATCCCAGTTGGGATAGGCTCCATGAAAGAGCTTCGATTCTTGAGTCTTAGCCAGAATCAAATGGTTGGTGCTATACCTCCATCTCTTAGCAACCTCACCGTTCTTGTGTCCTTGCACTTGGAAGATAATAAGCTTGTGGGTGTCATTCCTAAGGAGTTAGGGAGGCTCCACGAATTGATGTATCTGGATATTGGAGTCAATAGGCTATCTGGATCAATCCCATCTAATTTAGGAAATTTAACAAAGCTCTACCACTTGGATCTCTACCAAAATCAATTGATTGGAGTCATCCCTCGAGAATTGAAAAATCTAGTTAATCTTGTTTACCTATCAATCGCCGATAATAATCTAACAGGTGGAATTCTCTCTTCTTTTGGAAACCTAAGCAAGCTACAATTATTTTCGCTATCGAGAAATAAGCTCTCGGGTCCTATCCCTTTTGAGATTGGAAACCTTATCGAGATTACCGATCTTGACTTCTCGGAAAACCTATTAACCAATTCAATTCCTTCCTCTATAGGAAATATGACCAAATTAAATATTCTTTACCTTCAGGATAATCAATTATCTGGTTCTATTCCTCTTGAGATTTGGAATCTAATTGAAGTTACTGATCTGGCACTCTTAAAAAACCAATTGTCAGGTCCCATCCCTTCCTTGATAGGAAACATGACCAAACTCAGAAAACTAGGTGTATTAGATAATCAG